GCTGGCACTGTAACAAACCTGGGCACAAGAAATCTCAACGCTGGAAACTTCAACACAGGGAAGATGTCATGGCAGGAAAGGCTGCTACACAGAAAGGTTGTTGGAACTGTGGGGAGCAAGGACATCTGAGGAGCCAGTGTAGAAAAATATTACCAACAAGTCAGCCTCAAGGAGACCAGTAGTGGTTGGTGTTGAGGGACACTCACCAACCCCCATCATGAAAATCCCTACAGTTAGGTGTAAAATGCCAAGCACACACAGCGTCTATGTGACAGGAAAGCTGGATGGCCAAAGGTGCAACTTTGTCACAGATTCTGCGTCTCAAATCCTTATGAGCATCAAGGTGTTAGATCACGAAGGAGTACCAGAAGCCATACAGAAGCTTTATGGTGAGACAGGATATTCTACAAGATTGTGGGGACCAATGTGGGTAACTATTGAGCTCATGGGCATAAAGGACATACAGAAAGTATACTTGGCTGACATTGAAGACGAATGCATATTAGGATTGGACTATTTACTACCAAGGAAGTTTGTAATTGATTTTGATAAAATGTCGATTGGGAACAACAAAGGCCAAGTTCCGGTAACTGTTAAAAGAGAGGTTGAACTAATTAGGTGCTATCAAGCTGAAGTCAAGCCGACTGAAAGAGTTGATGATGATGAAGTGGAACCAAATATAGATATCAAAGCAGAACAGGAGAAAGACCAAGATTTGAAGCCAGTAATTGATTTTCTAAAAGCAAGTGTTGTGCGCCCTGCTTTGGAGAAGATGTCTAGTCTAAGCCCTGTGACAAAGCACTATTGAGTACAATGGGACTAGTTGAAGCTTGAAGATGGTATTCTTCTCCGGAGATGGGAAAGTGACGACTTGTCAAACGGTTATACCAAGAAAGTTACGGGAAGTTGTGTTGCATCAATCCCATGATACTGTAACAGGAGGACATCTCGGAGTTAAGAAAACACTGAGTCACCTACGACACAGATTTTACTGGATAGGTATGAGAAAAGATGTGGAAGAATGGTGTAGAACATGCAGTACATGTTGTGCTAAAAGGGGACCCAAGCATAAGGGACGTGCACCTTATGAAGAGTTGCCTGAGAATGTGTCAGAGTTTGTGAAAGTGTTATCAGGTGATTCGATGAAGTTAACTTATGATAAGAGATCTACTGAAGTCAGCTTTGAACCGGGAGACAAGGTGTGATTCAATAATCCCAGAAAGATCAAAGGGAAGTCTCCTAAGTTGTCTTCTCCATGGGAAGGCCCA